ATATAGGGAGAAATATAATATTGAACCTTTTCATCTAGCACCACAGGATGTCTTCTCATTCAGATTGTTCATCTTTTGGGGGGAACTTTTTAATTTTAGCACATGAGCTCTGGGCTGTCAGGTGTATTCCCAACTTATTAAGTTTTTGTTGCTATTGCATTAAAAACAAAGTTTTCAATGAGTTACTGATACTGAACTGGAGGGTCACTGGTCTGAATGCCCCCCTTGTTTTGGATTTTGAGGACTTTTCAATATGAAGTCAAATCGTCTTTAGCTGAAGAAAGCTTGGTTTACTTTCCCCGATGTTTCATATTTTTCATCTCTATCTCCTCCGCACTGGTTCCAGGAACGATCACGTGGCTTAATCTTCCAAATAATTGCATCTGTGTCTATTCTGCCTTCAGAGTGACTATGTCAGTTTATTTCATGGTGTTTTTAATTTCTAAGAATTGCTTTTTCCTCACCAGGTTCTTCTGTTTTTAATGGATATCATGGCTTTCTAATCACCTCCCGACTCCTGTATTGACATTTCCACAAGGGTTCGATGCTGTTTCGAGATGCCGGTTTCCCTCAGTGACTGGAGACACCTTATTGTCCACCCGTATCTGCAGATGAGGGCCCAGCATACGGTGCTGGTGTAGTTCCTGTCTGCAGGCAGGAACCCTGCTATGGGACTGTCACACACACACCGGAATAGCAGCCCGTGCCCTACCCCGCCTGCTGCAGCCGAGGGGAGCCCCTCTATGTTCAGAAGTTGGTGGCGCCCTGCCTTCCACGCACCAGCTGCGGTTTGCTGGCTCTTCCCCAGCTCTCTCCCCTCCCTGCTGGCTTTCTTCTCTCCTCCACACCGCACCTTCCAATATAAATGTCAATGTGAAAATCACACATCGTTATTTTTTTAAAAAATATCTTTACCTATTCTGTGCACCTCTTTTCATTTATGCCTACTTGCAGCAAGCTCTTTTGAGTACAGTGATCTGGCCCACAGGGCTTTTAATTTTAGAGCTCAGGGTTTCCTGCGTACTTTGAGGTCAGAGCAGAAAAGGTAAAATGCTGGCACAAAGTTTTTTCATAGAAAAATGGAAAGTGTTTTCTCAAATTTTTCAGAAGTACAGAGCAGATGTTGCCTGAAATTTACCTGTTTGCTAGGTAAATCTTTTTCATAAACACTCTTTCTTCTCATCTTGTGTATCAGATCCTTTTACTTTGAGGTGCTCTTTAAAAGGCCCCATGTTGCTCTGTTTTCTCTTCACGCAACTGTATTCGGATTGTGTTTCCTACACACTGGCCAAGTGGGCTCTCCTTGGGCGCAGCACTTTCGCTTGGGTGCCGTCCCAGACTTCCTCTCAGGCCTCCACTGGAGGGACTGCTTTCAGTCCAATCATCTGTCACCTGAGGGCTGGAAGGAGCTGGCCATGTCTTAGCAGGCAAAGAAACGTGGGTGACGTATGCCTTCTTCTGCCTTGGGTAAACTCCCCCTGGAGCAGACATGGCTGCTTCGTATCTTCCTCAACATGCTGTCCAGCAAGCTCAGTGCTGCAGTCAGTCCTGCCCAGGATCAGCAACCGTGACAACTTCTGTCACCGAGGAAACAGCCATCACCATGATCACTGACAGTCATGAGGCCCAGACCGGCTTCTGATGCCGCCTCAGACCCTTGCTGTCGATGCAAGGGCTTTAGACAGGGCCTCTGGGTCCGTCCTGGGCTCCGCCCCACCCGGAGCTGCTCTTCCCCAGGAGGCGATCAGCAGGGCCTCCGGGCGGCTGGGCCGCACAGCCCTCCGCAGAGAACACTCCATTCACGGGCATTGCGACATGCAGGCTGCACATTTTTGATTAATTACGTCATCTAACCTTCACAGGTCTTGAGAGTTACTGTTCCTATGACCATTTGAGTTTGGAGATAAGTAACTGCGGGGCACACTGTACCGAATACTGGCAGAACTAATGTCCCTAGCAAATCTGTCTGTTTCTAAAGCTCACGTTGCTAATGTTGTTTTAAAACCGCGCAGAAGACTGAAAATAAAAGGGCAATGTTAATCAAGGCTGCTTAAATGATGGGGCAATGAGTGATACCCTTTAATACCCCTGATATTGCACAATTTCCACAATGGCTGTTTACTTGTACACACAGAAAAAAAAAATCTAAGTGATGGTGACCGGCAAAGCTCAAAGAAACACAATGTCATAACGGGTCAGGCCTTAGAAATCAACGCACTTGACCCTTTTGTTTTAGAGATGAAGAAGCTAAAACCTGGATACGCTCAGGACTTGCCCACAGCATGGGAACCGCGAGCAAAGACCTCAGTGGAACCTGTGCTTCTGGGCTCCCAGAGCCCAGCGTCCATTGTTCTTTGAAAAAAACCTCACAACGTAGTTGCAGGTTTGGCACGAGTCAAACCCCCTGGCAAAGCTCACCGCCACTTCGGAAAATACAGGATAGGACCCACAAATCAAGACAGTGCCACTTCAAAGGTGTCTCTATTCCTCAGCACCCTGTCCAGTGGTCGTTCTCCACTATTTTACCTTATTATCATTATGTAAATTATAAATTATGATCCTGACAAGTACTCAAGAGTCTTGGGAACAAAAAGCCGGGTCTCTAAGCCCCTGTCCTGTAATTGGAGTGCTCTTCCTGGCAGCTCTGAGAGAGGCTGCCCCAGCCCGCCTGACGGCGGGCGGAGGACTGAAGGTGGGTGCAGGCTGCTACATTTGGGGTGCTTCAATTTCAGGCACGGGAACTTTAGTTTTCCTTATACTCATTTTCCACAAATATAAAAATGATAGTCAATATATCAACAAATCTCGATTATTCTGGCTGCCAGTGACAAAAAAAAAACCAAAACACCCAAGCAGCCCAGCTTAACCAAGAGGGATCATTCCTGACGTGTGTAACTCAGCAGCCTGAGGCGGTTGGTGTCAGGCCCGACTGGACACAGGGCCACGGGCGGTATGATCAGGAGCCCATCTCCCCGCTCTTGCCTGCATTGGCTCCATTCACGTGTTACACTTTTCCTGAGCTGCCTTGTACCTGCCAGGAGCCGTTCCCGCAGCTGGGGTACAGCGGGGAGTGAGGAGGCCAGGCAGAGAAACATTTCCTGTTCCCCTGGAATGCTGTTCTAACGGTGGCAACTCAGCAATAAAAACGTCAACAAAAACTAAATAAGAACATGCCAAATAGAGGACGTATTCTGGACAAGAAGAAAAACTAAATCAAGAGAGAACAGACTGAGGAGTTAAGATGATCGGGTTGCTGCTCTGGATTGGGTGGTTGCAGTCGGCCTCTGAACCCGCCGGCCGTGCAGGGGAGGGTGGGCGGGTCAGACCAAGGGGGAGGGAGCCCAGAGGCCTCAAGGCAAGGGTGGTTCTGGTCCACTTCAGGATGTTTCTTCACCCTCATTTATTCATGACAACTTGGAAAAGGGGTCTTCATTTAATGAGCAAATCTAAGTACAGTGAAAATGAATAAACAGAAACCTCTTTTGAAAGTGGAGCCCAGAGACTAGAAGAGAGATCTCTAATACATGAGTCACTTGATGCACACTACTGACCCCAACAGGAAGTGACCTGCCTTGCATCTCTGACAGGACAGGATTCTGCTTTACTGCCTCAGCAGGAGGAAGATTTCTCCTGGCCCAGTAACAGCTCAGCCAATGAGAGGCTGCCATAACCCAGCCAATGAAAAGTCACTACAAACCTGGTTGGGTGGCTCAGTAGCTTGAAGCATCGTTCAGTACAGCAAAAAGGTTGTGGGTTCAGGTAGTCAGGGCACATACCTAGGTTGTGGGTTGGGTCCCCAGCTGGGGCACATATGGGAGGTAACCAATCTATGTTTACATCTCCCCACCCTTCCTCTTTAAAATCAATAAAAATGTACCCTTGGGTGAGTAAAGAAAAGGAAAAGGAAAATGAAAAGGAAGGGAAGGGAAAGAAGCAAAGAAAAAAAGTTGCTACACTTTCAAATTTCAGTTTCCTCCAATGGACTCTTCTTTTACAACAGCCCCCCAAAGCCCATAAAAGAACATTCTTCTTCTCTGTTTCTCAAGACTTCTACGTGGTTTGCCATTAAACTGCATGTCCCAGATTGCAATTCTTTGTTGTTCCTGAATAAACCCATTTTGCCGGAGCAATGTCTATTTGTTTAAGGTCAACAGGATAGATTTTCTTTCTGGAGTCTCCACAGTATTTTCACTGTAAAATCAGTAAGAAAATGCTTTTTTGAAGGGAGAATGCGTACCTTAAGGTTTTCTTGAAAGTTCGTGCAAGGCCTGGCCTCTTGAGGCATAATAATGTACTTAAAATACACTCCGTAAGACCCTCTGGTAAAAAAAAAAATAAAATTTCCTATGCATGTACATTTGAAAAATAAAATCTCTACTTAAATGCTTATTTTGACTTTTTGCCCAGGATCAACTGCAAAAGTGCTTCTGTTTAGAAAGCACAGTTCAGCCAAAATCCAGCTTGTTTTTTAGGAACAAGAAACTGGAGGAAAAAAACTCAGAAAACATAAGGCACTGGGCAAATTGAGTGCGTGAGCACTGGCGGGACTCTGCCTGCGGTACAGGCCGGGATGACTCCCTCCCCATAGCCAGCACCTCCCACGGGACAGGGCCTCAGGAGCGGCTGGCGGAGAGTGCATGGCGAAGGCCAGAGGGAGAAGAGAGGCTAGAAAGGTAAGGAGGGGACAGGCGTGAGACCACTCCACCACAGGCCCACGTTGGGTCAGCTCTCCATTTCTGACACCAGGGCTGAGCTGAGACAGGTGGTTTGTACCCAGGAGGCTGAAGTGCTTGGCTTCTGCGATTTGAATACGGCTGCCCCCCTCCGGTGGCGCTGGGCCCCGGGTCCCGGGGCATGAGCGTGGTCTCAGATTTGCCCCACTGGGGTCCCGCATTTGGTCCCTGCCAGGGTTTCTCCTGGCACGGTCCTGTCCCTCCCTTTTTCATCCCCCAGTGCCCTCTAACCCAGACAGACTCTTAAATCACTGTCACCACTTACTTCCCCATGTTTATTGCTCACTCGGTCCCCTAAACGCTCTCAGCTGCTGTCTCTACAGAGAAGCCAGCATGGCTGTGACATCCAACAGGCTAAAGGACCATGATAAACCAGAACTGAATACACTGAGTTTTCAGCCTCCTAAACATAGGAAGTGTATTCCTGGTTCATTTCCCCATCTCAACAGGGGACCACCAGGTAGGCATGGAAGGCGTGGCTTCCTAGAAAGGACTGACCGTTGTCAGGGCAGCTCATGCAGCGACAGCTCCGCCACACCCTACTCTGCAGGCCTCTGAAGTTCCACGCGTCACAGTCAGATGGCCGGGGAATGGGCAGGGTGTGGCTCTCCCGCAAGGCCACCTGTCAGGTCATGGCCCCTCTGCTGCCTGGCCAGCGCCACCCTCAGGGTGTTGGCACCCAGGTGAAAGCCCTGCAGGCAGGCGACAGCCCGCTGGGCCGCGGCCGAGTCCTGGTAATGGAGGAAGGCCCCGCGCTGCGGCCCCTGCCAGGTGAGCCGCAGCGGGCACGCGCCCCGCTCTCTGAGGGCTCTCTTCAGCTCACTCACTCGGGTGTCCCCGGGGAGGTTCCCAACGTAAACAGTGTCGGAAGGCACATCGTCCCTGTGCACGGAGCCTGCCTCCGGCTGGCGTGGATCGCAGGGTCTTCTGACAGCGCTTGGGGGAGCTGTGTGCGGGCTGCGGGTTTCCAGGAAGTGCGGGTGCTCATCCTGAAGGGTGACATCTTTCCCGGCCTGCTTCTCTCGGGAGCAGAGGCTTCTGAGTATCGGGATTCTCCCCATCATCGCACTGCTGATCTGAAGAAGCAAAGCAGTTCCAGCTATTCTCAGGGTGTCTGAAAGGAACCACCACTTGGTCCTGAGGAAGGGGAAACCCCATGGCGCCCACTGCCACCCATGCTCTCAGCAGCAGCCTCTGTCTGTACATGCTAAGCCCTGTGCACCGATGGACTACATGTGAATGGTGTCGCCTGGCCTCTGAGACGTGGCCAGGCGGCACCATTCACTGGCTTCATCGGTAGCTTTGAATCCCCCGTCCCTGGCTTAAGATACGGCATGGCAGCTGGCAAGAATGGGCAGCTTCCGCTATTCTCCTAGAAGCCCAGGAAATAGAAAACTGAAGGCCCCCTTCCCAGGGCGGGAGCAGCTGAGCCCGCTAGTGTGACGGTTACAGGGCCACAAATGGCAACTCCCCAGCGGCTCCCCGGGATAATGTGTTGTGTTCTTTTTGCCTCATATCTGTCCCCTCCCCTCCACCCCACCTCTGCCATCACGCAGGACAAGGCCTTTAACAGGCCACAAGGATCTCCTCCTCCTCCCCACCCCTCCATTGAAAGAACGTTCCTCAGAGAAATATGTTGCTGAGAACATGGAATCAAGGCAAATCTGAAATAGAAAACTACTTTTTAAAACAGTTCCAGCAATGAGTCTAAAATAACACATCCTACGCAAAATGTTAAGTCTCAATGAACTGGACTCTTATACTAAGGACATCTTTGGCTTTTTGGCCTAATAAATTAACAAATATTTTCTGAAAACTACAACAAAGGATACCAGTAAATGAGGCTCCCCCGTGGAGGCCGCCTGAGCAGGCAGGAGCTGCCTCTCTCCGGCCTGCAGTGTGGGGCCTGCCGGCTCCGTCCTGGTGTGGCAGCGACACCAGGCCTGCCCGTCGGGTCAGGCTGAGCCTGGACAACTGAGCTCAGGGCAGGACCGGTCTCGCATTATCAGAGGATTCAGGAGGCAAAAAAGGAACAGAAAACCACTCTTTTGTCCCTTTTGACAAGCTTCATCTTTAATGACGTTTTCTGTCTTTATTTTGGACACGGAGCTTGTAAATGATCAGTTACAAAGAGGCAAGCAATGGCCCAGACACAGGCTTCCCCCAGACGTGGGCATGTTAGAGCACAGATCAGCCCACGAGGAGACAGGTGCAATTTTTCTACAAAAATAAATAGTCTGACTAGCATCAATGTTCTCGTTATATTCAGAAGCATATGTAACTTAGAGCAATGGTTCTTATTTTTGGCAGGGTGTCAGAACCTTTGAAAGAAGCTGCGGTTCCCTCCCTAGGACTCCCCCACAATTCTGTGTACAATTTCCCAATGTCTGTTCGACTTCCAAACCACAAGAAGTGCACAGGCCCCAGGTTAAAAGTCAATGAATTAGAGTAAGATTTAAAGAAACACAAACACCTAAGAATAGTCAAGTGTCTCTTGCAAACTGAATTGAGTACCTGGTTCTCTCTCCCAGTGCTCAGGTGCTCAGGACACTATGCTCCCCACCTCAGCAAAGCCTTTTCTGTGGGTCAGAGCCCTCGCCAACCACACGCTGCCCTTACTCCCTGGCACACTGTGTCCAAGGCCCCTGCGGGTGGTACTCGTCCACTCGGGGCTTTCCAACGGCACACAGATCCTCAGCTCCCAGGGAAAGATTCCGCACGTGAGGGCTGTCTCCTTCTCATGCTGCCCATGGTTCACTCACATACACACTTCCTGTCTATGCCATGGGTATCCACAAGCTGTGATTACTCTTTTCTAACCCCAAAATATTTTTCACCCACTTGTCTGCCCTTCTGCACTTCTTTGGAAAGGTGATTAAACTCACAAACCAGTACCCTAGAGGTTCTGGGTCCCAAAAAATCCCAAAGAGGATCTAAGTCCAGCGCACCCAACTCCTTCCTGTCTGTTCTACCTTCTTAAGGAGTTCAGATTCTTGTGTTCTTTCAGAATATTTAAAAAATGACTTAAACTGGTCATAGTAGGAGTCTTAAGTTACTAGATCTAGTATTTAAAAAGGATGATCAAGTTAAAAACTGCAATTATAATCAGAGAAAAGGTTTGACTACATGTACACGGGAGAACTCAATGTTATTCCACTCTAAGCAGCAGCGGCGGGCACCAGCAGGCCCCACCTCCTGGTAAATACTGTGCTTCCGCTGGTGCCCGCTCCAGGGCTGTCCTGGCCAGGTGACCACCCCGTGTGTTTTTGCCTAGTGGAACCACAAAGCTCCCCAGGCAGAAGTAAGTGTTCTCAGGAAACCTGACCCATGGGGCAAGGCTCTACACTCAGGCAGCAGAAATTCATTTTATTTTTTATTTCTTTCTTTTAGAGTTTTTTGTTGTTTTTTTTTTAGAGAGAAGGGGAGGGCGGGAGGAAGAGAGGGAGAGAAACATCAATGTGAAACAAAGAGAAACATCAATCAGTTGCCTCGGCCATGAACCCCGACCACGAACCAAATCTGCATCCCAGGCACGTGCCCTGCCCAGGAACGTGAGACCTTTCACTTTGCAGGATGATGCTCAACCCACAGAGCTACACTGGCCAGGGCAGAAATTCATTTTAAAACATGTCGTGTGAAGCAAAAAAGATGACCTTCTGCACAAATCACAGGGCTGGCACATGTACCAGATGTAATCAGCTGACGAATAATGAAAATGTTTTAGCCACACATTATAAATTAACTGAAAGTCTACAGCACTGCCACACTGGCATATGCAAAGGGGTCTTGAGAAACTGAAAGGCACAAGTGCATGGCTTTTCCGTAAAAGTTTGTCTCAAGAGCAGTATGTGTACTGGGTAAGAGGAACGACAGAGCTAACGTCGGTGCGCTCCCCGACACTGCCCCACTCCGCGCTCCCCCACCCGCTCCACATGGAAAATCTCCCGGCTACAAGGTGGCTCTTGCGAGTGTTGGCCATCCCTCTGCAGAACGGCGTACACTGACTGCTGTCCCACAGCTGACAGAAAGGCCCCTGTGAGCCAAACGCACAGGCTAGACGTCATACTCGGGACAGGTCCACGGCGGTGCTACTGTTTTTCCTGGCTGGCAATTAGGAACATTTGTTACATTTTGTCAACTTGCCATGTGAAATGAAAGATTTTGCTTGTTAATCAAACATAAAAAAAAATATCCGTCCTTCTGTAGCTAAAAAAATAGTACAAATTTGATTTTCTTTTATATGCTACAATCACGCTTCACTGAAGCATACAGATTAGCAGTCACCTATATATTCTCTTTAATGATTAAATTAATGAACCCGTCCCCTACAAATACTGGTAAGTACAACTTAAGCCAGAAATCTGACTCTCAAGGTATCTGCTCCCGACCCAGAAAGAAGAGACTTGGGTGGGTTCTAGCCTAACCTCAGCCCTGCACTGGTTTCATGACTTTGTGAGTTGCTTTCCGGCCCTCACTTTACTTGACCAGCGATAAGGAGACGGGGATGGATGATCTCAAAATCCCTGTCATTCTAAAATGCTGGGGCGTGTTTGAGCAGCTGCTGGCAAAGATAAACAGAAACACCAGAAGTGTTCCTAATGTGAAACACAACTCACCAAAATGATTAGTTCTCTTGCATGAGGCTAAAGCTTAGTCATGGATGAAAATGCTCTGAGGCCCCTCCAAATGCCCAAGTGAAAAATTTCGAGTAACCACACTGAGAAGAGTATGAAGCCAAAAAATGTGTTGTCTTCCACAGAGGTCATTCAGGCCTTGAAGGGTCCACTAGCTTTCCAATGACAGCAAATAAATTCCGGTCATTAGCCCTCCTAGAGGATTTGGTCATTTCTGCCATCTACAGCTACATGTCTTGTAGAAGAAGACCTTGAACCTGGCTGCTTATCAGAATCCCACAGGTTTGCAAAGCAGATTCTTAGGCCCATGCCTGAAGATAGTGATTCAGAAGCTGAGTTACTCAAAAGCTCACAGAAACTCGAATGTACAGCCACCGCAGGCCTGGGAACAGCTGCCATGCCAGATGGAGAACACAGTCAAAGAAGAGATGCCTCTAAGCTATGGCCCAGAGGCGGCCACGGGATGCTGCGGCTGCCCGCGATGCCCTGTGGTGACCCACCTTAGACCACATAATTCCTGTTGGCTTTGGGCGCGTACACCCCGTGGTGATGACTCTTGTTGGAGTGAGAATATAGTCCACTGTGAGGTCATGATCCTCAAGGAGCGCTTCAGGTATGTTGACAACCTGGTCAAACAGAAGTGGATGAAGGAGCTTGTGGAAACAGTCGTGCTCACCGCGCTGCTCAGCAGAAGCACGATGCTGCCCTAGACCCACTGCGGATGGGGAGGCCTAGTGGCCGCATCACTGAACTAACCCAGCCCCAGCTGATCAGCACCACTCACTGCCAGCACGGAGTGAGGCAGAGGCCAGCCTCTCCCTTTCTCTCCCCATCCTTTGCTCTCTCTTTCCCTCCCCCTCACTCAGAAGAGCATGGCAGTGGCTCTGCTTAGCCACGGGAAGCACCTGGCAGTCGTGGACGATGGTGACCACTGGCGTGCCTTGGTCCACTGCTCCCATCGACACCATCATGGCATACTCAAGATCAGCGTAGCCTTCGCCCTTCCCGATCCTCCAGCCTAAGAAACAGCGCAGAGCATCAGTCTCTCTGTAGGGTCTGGGGAATCATCCGGGAGTGAATTGTTCATTATGGCACAATGAAAGGAGAAACTTGGATCCAATATCCTTGGCCCTTCCGTAGAAGCTTCCATAGTAACTCTATGGGCAGCCCACCCAAAATGGACTTACAGGACTCAAAGAGGAGTAACAGTGTTGAATATGTACAGTGGTTAACACACAATGAAGTGAACTTCAGACCTTTTACACATGCCACACGCTACAAAAGGAAACTGAGCTTGCATTTATGTGAGCTTTATGTTAGCAGGATTACTTAAAAATAATGAAAGAGTACTTTTTAACTGATGTACAAAATAGAAAGAGGCTTGGATACATGGAACAGACTGACAGCTGACAGAGGGGAGGAGGGACTTGATGAAAGGCAGCAAAGGGATCAGCCAAGGAATAGATATGCATGACCCATGGGCACGGACAACAGTGTGGGGGTGGCCAGAGGGAAGCAGGGGCAGGGGGCCGGGGGCACATCTGCAATGGTGTCAACAACAAAAATTATCTTTTTTATCTCTTTCCCTTGAAGGAAAAATAAAAACTCTAAAATGTATGTGATTTAAGGTGGCATAGCCACATCTTACATGAAGCACTGAATAAGCTACTCAGTTCAAGCCTACAGTTCTTGAAGGAGGATGGTTTAAGCAGTACTAATACTACTTGTGCAAATCTGTAAATAGCTGGCACAATGAAGACATTGTTATCTGAGGCTAAGCAGGAGGAAAGAATGCAGCAAGACAGTAAACATGAAAATGCCTTCTGGTTCCCAAAATGAGCCTCTACGTTCTTCTTGGGAGGAAGCCCAGGACACTGCAGAAATTTTGACTTGTATTTAATGTCGGCATCCGCATCACCACCAAGAGTTTAAGCATCGTTGTTCACGAGTCATTCTAAGATTCAGATCTAATCATGCTACCTTTTACAATTAAAAGCCATCAGCTATGCATGCCAAGAAATGAGAGAAAGACAACTCAAGAGAAAAATAACAAAGGGTATGAACAGTCCACAGAAAGAAACAGGCAGATGAACAGCACCCAACAATGTTCAACTTCACTCATAACTAAACGCAAGTCAAAGACAAATGAAATACCCGTGTTCACCAAGAGATGGGTAAAAAATTAACGTTGGATGATTCTAGTTATTAACAAGGGAGTGGGGAGAGGCAAGGCACACACAGTTGGGGATGTGAGGCCGGCAACCTTTCTGGTGGGTAACCTGACAACAGTCATCAGGATTTAAAATCCACCCTTTGGTTTGGCAGTTCCTCCCCCAGGATAGTCCCCAAAGGCCCACCCACTAGGCTGTATGACCAGACAACACCTCACTCTAATGCTCTCTCAAAGAGAGCAAAAAACAAAACCCAGCCCTGGAGGCCGCCAAACATCCCTCGGCCAGGGCTGTCCAGCAGGCGCTAACGGCACTCCTCGGCACTGACGGGCAAAGACCTTGGAGATCCGTCATCGGCAGGGCCCAGAGTGCTGCAAAGGCTGCTGTCCCTCCTGTGAAAACAGACACAGGATGAACACACAACCCAGAGTACATGCGACCCCCATGGAACGGGTATCACATATATACTGACACAAGGAACCCCCGACAGTGGGGGCTGGCAGGCAGGAAGAAGGGATGCGCAGAGGTGACACGTTCCGTGCCGTTCAGATTTTAGGAATGCTGGTGGTGGTGTTTTCATCAGGTGGTTATCCGGATGCTGACATTTACAAAACATTGTTTTCTTTTTCATATATCCTGAGCTAAAAAAGAAAACTCCTGATGGTCTTTCAAAGAAAACATCTTTGATTTCCTGTTGCCAGAACAATAGAGCCGAAACCCCGTCCCCTGGCCTCAAGGCAGCGAGAAAGCTGGCCCCCACTGGCAAGGGCCCTGCTAAGGGACATGAGCCTCCTCCTCCCTCACCTGTTCCACCTGCCTCGAAAAACACTGGCATGTGGAGCTCGCCCTGATGTCACTTTTGAGATGATGCCCTGCTCGAGGCTCACGGGTCCCTCCTCTGACCCCACTGACATCCATCCTAACTTCCATTTCTCACACTTAGCATGTTGTATGGCAGTTCAGCGAGTGTCCGCTCCTGCCGCTCACTGTGGGCCCAAGGCAGAGACCACCCTGCGGGCCTGGCTCCTGGCCCCTGGTAGGCGCACATGCGTACCCATCCCTGATGACACAGATGAAGTACCTGTAACTGTGCACAGGAAAAGCAAAGAATAAAGAACTACAAAGAATAAAGAACACTCACTAGCTCAGAGAGCTGGCAAAAACCAGTAAATTTAAAGTTAAGATATTGCAGGCCGGCATTTAAAATCACCAGGCTCAATGACTGACGTAGAGCATCTCTCACCAACTATTCACTGGGAACGTCTGCTGAAGAAAGAACTTGACTTTGGCCGATTAATTTCCAAATAGAGAGCTTTCAGGATGAGTGTCTTAGGACAGTATCTCTTTTCATCTCTTAGAAGGGCAGGAGGAGAGAGAATGCTTTCCCAGTGGGGGTCCTGAATCCCACCTGGAACCAATGATCCCACCAAGAATAAGCAGATTGTTTTCAAAGAGCTTCAAGCTGGGCCCAGGGCAGAGCAGGGCAGAGGCAGGTCGGGACCCATGGGGGCCCGAGTCCCAGGGGTGGACATGGCCGTGCAGCTCGCCTGCCTGCGTGACCAAGCCCCAGGCCTTGGGCAGGCGCAGGGCACCCTGTCTTGTCCAGAGGCTGCTGCTTCATAACAAAAACAAGGTTTAGTACTTAATGTTTTTCCATTTCCTGGAGGCTCTCCAAAACCAACTATTTACTGACATACTGCAAATAAATTCAGCTTCAGTTCCAGTTAACTTAAGAACAGAGGGAAAATCTTTCACCACCTGAAGAGAGATTATCTCACTTTATTTTTCCTGTTGAGAAGAGTGAAAATACTGTAAAGGTGTTGAGTGGGGCCAGGAGTGGGAGGGATGGAGTTAACTCTTCAAAATGAAGAGTGGATGTGCTCAGTTTGGAAGCCAGGCACGCGTCCAGAAAGCTGAAATTACTTACCATCAACGTCTAGGAGACGACCAGAGCGCTGGGGGAACAGCAAACTGCAGGGTAAGGGGTCGCATCTCTGATTTTCTGTTTTTCGTCTTACCTTTTTCAGAAACGGCAACAGACCCCACCACAACTAAGTCCACAAGGACCCTGGAGTCCAAGCCCACGGGAACACTGTAGTTCTTCACGCCCTGTGGGCAGAGACACGGACCTGAAAGCCTCCCCGCAGGGAGCGGCGGCCCCACCCCATAACCCGCAGGCGAGGCGCAGTCCGAGTCAGAGTCACCCCCTTCAGGGAAGCAATTACATGCACAGCCCCGCAACAAACACGTGGCATTGCCGAAACGGCACTTGAGGAAACCCATTTTGGGATAATTTCCCACATTATCCCCCCCCAGCCCCTTCCCCCAGGAAAGATGCCAGGAGGAACTAATGGCACAAATGGATAGGATATTAATTTCATAATATTTAACAAGTAATTTTTTCCGATGACACAGAAGAGCACAGTAATCAGAGCACAGGCTCAGGAGTCACGCAGAAGCGGGTCCAGATGGCTTTTTGCTCTGTGACCTCGGCAGGAGGAAGCGCTCTGAGCTCCAGTGTCTTCATCTTTAGGGCAGGGACACCACCCCAGGGCTTATCAAACTGGTATTAGAATGAAGGATGTCACAGAGGTAAAACTTGGCATGAGACACAGTCAGTAAACATGGGTGCCATATTAATTCAGTACAAAACGCTGGAGGCCATGGATAGCACACTCACTTCTGAAATATTCTTTATTTAACCAAAATGCACCAAAAGGACACCCACGTCACTAACTAATGGAGGCCTCTACTTAACAAACGGGGATGCTGATATGGTCATGGTGCTGATAACAAGGGTTACAGGTAAATCCAGGCAATCAGACTGGGACGGTGTACGGAGCAGTGCCTGGCAGTCGCGAGTCACTGCGCTTGGTGCTGGCCCGTCTACAGTACATGACCAGCCACTTCCAGGGTCAGTATATGTGATTAGTTTGGGGGGCTCCCAACAGTCAAATAGGTCAATGGCGTACACTGCTCCCGCTGTGGGAAAGCCTGGCTTCTCTTAATCTCACGGGGGCCATGGAGGCAGGCGTCTCAGGTCCGAGGTCCTTTTCCCCGACTCTGTTTTAAGGGGCCCCCTCTCTGGCAGCCCCGGTGAGCAGACAGCTCCGTGGGGTTCTCTGTGTCACAGCTCCATCTGTCACACTTCCTCTTCCCTCGTATGGTCAGCCTCACCTGGCAAGTCTAGCCAGACAGAGCGTGGGCAACCAGGAGTCCCCTGATTCTCCAAGGTCATGTGCAAATCAAGAAAAAGAGTCGCTGATGAGTAGACGTATCATGCGATTAACACACTTTTCAGCCTGCCCGCAGGGGTGGTTACCAGAACACTCCTACGTCAGAGTGAGCACAAAGGCAAGGAAGATAGACACAGGTAGTTGGGGTGTGACGGTGGCAGGGAGCTGAGATGGCGAGGGACAAATTCAGAAACGTACCTGCCAAGAAATAAGGCTCTATCAGAGTGTCCTAGAGTAGACATGCACTGTGGCAGTATTTCTTTGGCAAGCAAAATAATGATCGCACTAAAATTTGCACGTGCACGTAGATGCGGCCGTGTGAGTGTGTCTCCACCTTACCACTTTCCCTCTGCCATAAAGTAAGTGAAAATCTCCTGAGGTTCAAGACTCTGGATCTCTGATTTCGATTCAGTATCTCATGTTATTAAAAAGACCAAACTCTGCTGTTTAATCCTTACAAAGTTCGGTCATGGGAACTGGCCTGGCTTTCCCCGGGGCCCGGCTCTCCTTTCAGGAGTAGGGGTGTGGCACCCGTCAGTGCCAGCGCTTCACGGGCCACTTCTGGCAACAGTCAGAGTGGCGGTCACCTTCCAGGGAGGACAGGGATGCTGGCACGTTGACATAGACCGCTACGCCAGCACTGACGCTCTACCTCACCTGGACCTCGATCCCAGAAAAAGGCAGCTGTTACGGTCATGAACCTATGACTTACAGCTGATCACGTTCCCTGTCGGCTCCAAGAAACACGGGTTCAGGTCTGTGGCCCCCACTGCCAATTGCAGACAGTCAAAGGGTTTGCATTTCTGAGCAGCAACCAGAACCACTGCTGTCTTTTTTTGGTCTACTCTTATTTCCCCTTTGCCTCTTTTTCCACACATATTTTTTTATTTTACTTTATAAGTATCATTAAAGCCACATCGAATTCTATTTTTGGAATAAAACAGGTTATCAATAAATAACAATAAAGCATTCAATTTTTATACATTAGACTTAAGTGGAAAGTCCCTTAAAAAAAAGGAGTATCTTGACGCCCTATTTTTTATTCCAGTAAATTAAGAAATCAAATGACTTGGGTCTACTCCAGGAGTCTGAAAAGCCACTGAATTCTATTTCTTTATCTGTAAACTACAACACAAATTCCATTATAATGCACCCTAATGTAATCCTTACACACTTTGGTTTTACTACATTGTGAGACACTCAGGAAAATCTTATGTACATATAAGATATATATTTATATTTATACCTTAATATAAATAATTATATATTCTTATATATGATTCATTTCTATGTGTGTGTATATATATATATATATGTACACACACACACACACACACACACACACAGTCATTAATTTAGAACTATGAGGCAATTTCCAGTTGAACACAGTTTGGTAATTCTACCTGGGCCCCAGTTGCTCTGGAGGCATTTGATAAAATGCTACAGAGCGCTAAACAATGTCACAGATTAACACTAGAAGGCGCTAGAGTACCAGGTAACATGTTCTTCCTGTTCTTTTTAAACAGAATTTATAATTTGCCAGCTTGGTGCAAAATAGAAACCAAGTTACAAAAATGGAATCCATGTATTCATAGTTTCCCCACTTGGCTCCCTTAATGACAGGATTGCTGAATACTTTAACATCTCTGTTCACTTGACTTTGTTAAAAATAAATTGCAAACTTTGTGGCGTATTTTATGCTATTCTAGCTCACCAGAAGTTGCAGCTGAGAACAGTTCTTTCCTTAGTGAGTGCCTTGTTTCTTGCACTTACCTGAGAGGTGGCGCATTTTCTCAGGACATCTTTAGTTGCCCCAGGAGGTGGTGTGATCCTATTAAATAACCCTGTTCTCAGCCGTGGTGTTGGAACCAACAATGTTTTTTTGCTCTTTTAAAAGAAAGACAAACAATAAATTACAAAATGAAATAGGAACTTTCTGAGTATGTTTTTTACATTTCAGGAATGGAAGCGAGTTACTATCATCTGGAATTTTTTGGTGTGTGCCACAGAAATCACTGGTTTGCAAAGAAGTAAATTATGCATGGGGTCACCCCTATCCCCCACCTTAGGATAAAAAGCAGGGCATTTGTTACACTTGCTAATTCTACTTTATTTGCCAATGAAAACTGTTCCAGGTTAAAAAAAAAAAAAAAAAGACAACACAAATCCAAACAAAGTTCTGTTCTTATAAAACTTTCAACCATAACTTTCCTATGTCACCTGTTCTCAGCATTATGTATCATACAATTACTGTTTTAATTTGAAACTGGAAGCTACAGCTGCATTAATAATGTTATTCCATCAAACAGTTATATCTAGTTTGCTGTTCAATCTAAGAGTACAGTCTAAGAGGTCAGCACTTGATATAATCAATATTTTACATTGATCTCTTCAAGAGGCCTTTTCTTCTATTTAGTTCTCAGAATGTCAAAGTGGGGGCCCTGAGCAGCAGCCCCAGAAACTCCTGGGCACTTGTTAGAAATGATCGGAAGCCCTGGGAGAAGGCCCAGCAACCCGCTTTAACACGCCACCCGGCCCAGGTCAGTTGAGAGAAGCACTGCCCAAGGGGATCTCTGTAGATTGCTCAGGGGTAGGTTATGAGACAATCATAAAATTTATAAAAACTTTTTTGTATAAAAGATAGTATATTTTAGTTTTTGTGCAGATGAGAGCCTGAGACCAATAAAAGACCTATACAATCAGAGTGTGGCTTACTTAAATAAAGATTTTTAACCAAAAGAAAAGAGTGTTTTCAACACAAGTAATGACCATATCCTACTTTCCCTGTAAGTGTTAAATAATTTGGGTTCATTTCATTTGCAGTCTCTGGATGATTCTGGTGTACTGCAGACTGATTCTCGTTGCTCCCTCTCTCCTGGAAGCTGCTCACCCCATAGCTCAGTGGATCTCAACCCTAGCTCTACACTGCCATTGCCTGCGGAACTTGAAGACTTACAGAGATCCAGACCCACTCAGAGCCTCTGATTCGGACCTGACAGCGGCAGCAGAGCACCTGCAGGGCTCCCCAGAGGGCACTAACCTGCAGCTGGGGTTGGCAAGCGCCAGTAGCTCCACAGCACCGCCAGGGGTTCATTAAAAACAGACTCCAGTTCAAGGCCTGGGGCTGAGCCTGGGAAGCCGTGCATCTCCAGACAGGCTGCTGTGTCCCCAGGTGTAGCCTGTGGCCATATGCAGCACCATCCTTGCCTGCGCTCAGGGGGGACTGGGGAGCTTCCCAGGTGATTCTTAACCCACTCAAGTTTCTAAAATTCTACCAGAGGAGCCTGCAGCCCTAGCGCATAGGGACCCCAGGTGTCGTCGTGTTTTTACTACTATATCCCTGTGCTCAGCACAGAACCTGAAATGCAGCTTGGCCTCTTATTTCCTGCAAATAGAGTGACAGTGAGGACTCCACCGAGCCACCCTGTCTCCGGGCTGCACTCCTCTCGCAGGTCACCTTGGCTAAGCCTAAAATCTCCATCACATTCAAGGCCTGCGATTTTGTGCTGAGGGACTGACAGGCAAGCACAACCTAAGCCTCACACATGCCAAGAGCTGGCTCTGGTCACACGGTGGGTCATAATCCTGGCTCCACGATTCCTGACACAGGGCTTAGCCAAGACACTTGACCTCTCTGTGTCTGGTTCTTCAATGTCATATGGGAACAGAGATCACTCCTACAGGGCTGTCAGTAGGATTAATGAATACAGGAAAATGTTTAGGTGGAAATGTGCCTCCCATATAACTGCCCACTGTGGGTCCTTCATTGCTGCTGCTACTACGATTACCTCTAGTTCATTAAAGTGATTTATTGATGGGGAAAATAAGGCTGGCAAGAAAGAATGCTTCCAGAAGAGCCTAAACCAGAGGCCCCTCCTGGGGCTATACCGCAAACAGAGGACAATGATTTCCTACACGAAACAGTTGACAGAACCAGAGCAGCATGCCTATACCCCTCCCCATCCCCTGAAAAATCACTCCCTGCTATTCATTTCACCACATGGGTCGGAAGGTGCCCTGCACAACCAAGGCTTCTCGGGAGCTGCGGAAGAGCTGAGCGACCCCACGAGGAGCGGTGACAAAGACAGAGCCCCAGAGATGCTGCTCTGCAGCGCTCAGCACCATACTCACAGTATCAGCAAAAGAGCATCACCCGTTACATCAAATTAGTGGTTAGAGTGTTACTGCTTTTATAGTTTTGTTTGCACTTAATTTATAGGCTTATTTTTCTTTCCTTTTATCGTTGCAAAAGAGCTATGAGCATTAAAATTTATACCAAGGTTTATGTTTATACTTATTGAATTACAAGAAATTAATTTAAAGCAACCCTGTGAAAGGGAACTATACAGTAAGAAACACTGTTCTAATTTATATATTTTGGGGCCTCACATCAGATTCCTTACTCACAGGTTATCAAGTCTCAAAGAAATATAGTATTACAAATGTAGCAGGAGGAAATAAACACTGTAATCTTTCCCTTCTGGTGAAGCACATCAGAATTGAGAAGGCCTCAATATCATCATTTTGAATGTCCTTTACTTCTGCATTTAGAAAAACTCAGGACTTCCCACTGACTGACTGCGAAACAAGGGAAAGACTTTTGGACTGTTCCTGGAAAAAACAACTCCAGGGTGCGTTCTGCATGGGAGGGAGTCAGAAGAACTATCTTTCTAAACACAGGACTGTACATTTACCAGCCACTTGGAGACGGCCTTCCGGTCAGGGGCAGCAACGTGGGATTACCTGCAGCGCCAACAGCCGAACGCCTTCCAGAGGTTTATCGGGGTCCACTTTAACTTCCTGCGTTCTGGCAAAAACTTCTAGGTCTTTGATGTTTTGGCAAGCCAGATAAGAGCCCTGGTTAGGCAAACAGACAGAGTTGCACTTACGTCGAGGACGAAGAAGCGAGCATTTTTCTGGGGAGCATCAGGGTTGACCTTAATGGTTCTGGCCATTTTGAACGCCTGCAAGCGTGGGAAATGCTCAGCAGCACGAGAAGCACCCTGTTTTTAAATGCAATTGCATGTTACTGAGAGGACAATGGCAGCTTGAGCAGTTTGCTCCAGCCTCCCACCCAGACAGGCGGAAGCACTAATTGTGAAATGAGATTTAAGAGTCACCAAAGAAACATCTAAGAAAGCAGTCAGGGTAGAAAGGGGCTGAGAATGCTAGCCTAGCCCTAATTTATTACTGAAATAAAACATACACCTCCCCCCAACCAAAGTGTACAAATCATGTGTGAGCTTAATGAATTGTCACAAAACGAACACACCTGTGCAACCACCATCTAAATCAAGACAAAGAATATAAATCAAGGTTACAGCACTAACTGGGAACCTTCATCCTTCTCCTAGTTGATTTCCTCGTTAAAGATTATTACTGATTCTGTGCATCTTTCCCTGTACTTCATGTACATTTCTCTCCCAGGGATAACAAGCACTAAAGCAAAGGAGTAACAAAAAACCATCCATAAGAACAGTTTTTCAGATGGACAGGTTGGCCTCGGAACCGGCTCAGCGAAGGCCTGGAAAAGGACTGGCTTGCTTCTTGGAAGCCAAGCTGGGGAGAGACAGTCCAGCCAAAATGGGGGTGATGGCAAGCAAACGGGCCACATCCTTCGGGCCTGACAGAGCAATCAGTGTATTTTCAAAAAGTGCTTTCTTTTTCTCTTGGAAAACATGTATGCCAAAGATCATGAGCTATGTATATTGCCTCTTGCAAGCAAACTTGTTCCTATTAATACTATCTTAAAGAGGTATCTTTGATTGTCTTCTAATCGGAACAGTTGGGAAACTGAGGCCTCGTATCATCAGGGAACTGGTGGATGAGGCCTTCCTCTTTCCAAAGGTGCTAGCAGTGGGGCGCATCACCCTTACTGTTCTTAGGGTGCCAATTTTGTGAAAAGGCACCATAATAACATGCTTCCAGCCAGGATAAACAAACATTTCACTCTGCATCAAATAGTAAAGAGTAGACTGAGCACCACCTCATGACAAGGGACAATCAACCGACCCACGGCCCACGCTGCAGAGAAAGGCAAGAGGCCCTGTGAGTGAAGCTTAAGTAACATAAAGGACATCTTGAAACACAAAACACCCAGCCTGCTGGTTCGCATTTCAAGCCACCTCTCTTCTCACCGAATCTGAATCGACCATGACACAGGATGGTAACTGCACTACTAATGATACACATGGAGGAATACCCTGTTTTCCTTTTGAATGCTCCAGGCATGTTTCAGTACCTTGAAGTTGGGAATCCTGTGATGAACAGGTCGGGGAAAGTCAGCTAAATTTTGTGATTCCATGTAGTCCCAGATCTGCTCACGAATGTCCTGTTTGGAAACACCTATCACACCAAGGGTACAAATGATTAAAAGGCTGAAAGGGATTCCAGAGAGGGCGCATCCCGGGTCCTCTCAAGTGCCCGCTCCACCCTCTGCCAGGCCAGACCAGGCTCTAGGGGTTCTGATCTCTACATCTTCAAATCGGGGTTCGTGATTAAGGTCTACGCTCATGACAAATTGCTCAAGTCCAGAAATAGAGTAAACGCAATATAATCCAAATGTTTAATCCAGTCCTTCTAACCTGTAGCAGTAGGAGAAAAAAAAAAATGCAACCCAAACCACATGACCCAGCATTCTCAGAGATGCCAGTTCTGCTCAGTCAAGGCACGGTCATTTAACACTATTTAGTCTTGAAATAGCTATGATTAGTTTACTCTTGCTATAAATCCTGTAAGCTTGCCTTAACCCCAAGTGATTTGTAAACCAGCTATTATTTGGGATTACCTACTACAACCCCTTTGTTAGCGTGGGATTCTTTTCTTCTACATCCGACTTTGGATGTACAATTTTAGGCAACAAATATACTTTGACTGGGGCAGTCCTAATAAAATTTGTATTAACTATGGGTTCCTACTGGAGTGAAGAAATATGAAAAACAGTTTCCGGTTAAGTAGAAAAAACAAAACCAGCACTTTCATATACATACACTTTAAAATATTCTCAAAATTTGTATTTTTGTTGGTCCAAAAGGATAACTTTGTATAGAAATGTTTCAAATCACTTTGCTACCTACTACATGGTTTATTTTCATAACAATTTATTATACAGCCAGCATTGTGAATCATGTGGTAATCTCACTCACTTGTATACTCTTACTACCAACCTAGAAGTAGATTCAGTGCCCAAATGTAATTTACAATGAAATTACACCCTTCTACCCTACACCACCCAAAAGTCTCTGCAGGGATATATCAACATTGTACTTGATGTGTATCTCTGACACTGGGAGCGAAAAGTTGACCTCTTCTTTGCAGAGAATGTAGGTGGTGCTCACCATAACTAAACACACCGAATGTGAACCTGAGGCTCCATACACAGCATGCGTGGCTGGGTTACTGCTCATCACTCAGGCAGGAAGGAGGGGTAGGTTTAACCTCTTAGGTCCTCAGTCTCCCTTAAATGAGTGGATGCTGCAGAGAAGTAACGTAAGGGAGCAGCCCCACAGCCACAGAAAGCTGGGAGTCACCTGGCTGGGCAGGCAGATGGGGCTGGCAGTGGGCTTCCACCGTACACATTTCTGAATTGTGTGGCTTTTAATCATTTGAATAAATTACATTCTAACAGTTTAATTTTTTTTGGAAATGGATTTTAAAAACATGAGAAAGGATCTAAAAGGAGAAGCCTCCTTCCTCACCGTATGCCAGGTACCAGGTCCTTCCCCCAAGGCAAAAACTGCACCTGTTTCTTTGAGTGACTCCTTCCCCAGGGATCTCAGGCTTTACGTAGGAGACACGTGTTTTCACCCTCGTTTTATTTTCCTCAGAGAGTGAAATATCCAGATAGCTACACACATTGTTCTGCACTTTGTTGTTTTTCCTTAATATCTTGCAGATTAGTCCATATGGCACATAAAATGCACCCTCCCATTTTTTTCAGTTGCATAGTATTCCACTATGTGAACAGGACAATTTACCCCGGCAGTCCCCTGGTGGGCAGTAAGTGGTCTCCAACCTTTTGTTATTAACATATGCGTCTATATCCATCTGCTCTTTTATGCCAATCTGTTAACCCTTTATGTGTAGTTCTAAGGTGTAAGGGCCTTACGGTTTCCACTGTTTATGCCTTCAGACTAGACGTAGATCCCCTTGGCACAACATGCATACAAGACCCTTCCCAGCCAGACCCCAGAGCCTCCTGGAGCCTACTCCAAACTTTGCTGGTGACTCTAATCTCTAGGTGTGCTTCTGAACCACTCCAGAAATCAAACATGCAGACTCAGGTATGCTTAGGGAACACACACATTTCTAAAGATGCAGGTGGGGAGTATACTGCCGTCAGCCCGGGAAGGGCTACAGGGGCAGCTTCCAGCACTCAGCTGTTCTCTCCTGCTGGACTCTCTGCACCTCCTGGCCTCTGCTGGAAAGTCCGCTCAGCTCCCTGTCCCTCTGGCAAATCCTCTCTTCGAGGCCCAGCTTTGGCACCACCTACAGAAGTCGCCCCTCCATTCTGCTCCACAGGTCTGCAGAGCCCTCTGTTCGAGGGAGTGGAATGAGCTGCAAAATCCCTCTGCCCACTTCAGCTTCATCTCCTGTCATTCCTCACTTCAAATTTAAAAAGTCGCTCAACCACTGTCCCCACACACCTGCCACCTTTCTCTCTCTCTTTCAGGCCTTAACACATTCTCTCCTCGCCTCTCTTCTCCTCCCAGGTCCAGCCCCTCCTCTCCCTTCAGAACCAGCTGAGCTGCCACCTCCCCCAGAAGGCCTTCTCTGAGTACTCAATCGCAGACAGATGTCCTTTCTTTAAGAACCTAGAGCACCCCCCACAGTTTGCTTGTTATTTTTTCAAACAGAAACAATCACACTGACACTGTTATCATAAGGCTTTACATTACCACTTTCACTACCAACAGAGAGGTCCTACAATATTCCTAGCACTGTGCAGGATACTGTGTGGGACACAAGAAATGTAGAAATCGGGACCCTTGGCAGAGTCAATTAAACACAAACATTTGAGTGACTCCCATTTAGAAAGCAATGGACTAATTGGGAGGAGGCAAAGAGAATAAAAGGGCATACCCTTGCCCCTGGAAAGTTATGAAAACATAGGAAATGATTAGGATAATAAGAAGCACCATATATTAAGGTGTGAAATGCCTGAACCCTGTTCTGTAGAGGACGGTCAGGTCAGCCTGGGTTTCACTCTTCCTTCTATCTCTAGCTCTGAGCTCAGTCCTGGCACTTGGCAGGCATCTCCAAAGGTCTTTTTTTCTCATCTCACTGTATGATCAGCAACTGTTCACTGTGCAGTTCACATGCACGTTCAGTAAGGGCAGGAGTGGCAGACCCTGGCGCGCTGTGAGCTCTAGTATGATCCTTGCCAGGCAACTCTGCAATCCATCACCAAAGCCCAGGGACTCCGGGGCGAGCCTCCTCAGTGCCTGGTACATCCGAGGCCTCAGAAAGCTTTTGTTAAGAGGACAGTGATTAAGTGCCCAAGCGTTTTAGTTCATTGGTGTCCAGTCCTGCCCCTGCCAGAGGCTGTGCAGTGAAAATGATACGGGAAGACAGAGCTCACGGGAGTAGTGATGACTGCTGGTACGGAGCCAAGGGACACTACCACCTACCCAGCAGGTAGCCCTCCTTCCTCTGATCCCGTTATCTCAGTATCCCGCCAGGGGTTCGCCCCCGAGCCCCGCGCCCCTCTCCTTTCTCTCCCGTGGTCCCTCTACTCTGGTCCCTGCGGTCCCTCCACGTCCCCGGTCGGCCCCCAGCGGTTCTTCTGCAACCCCGACCCTCTCTCCGAGCCCCTACACCCACTGATCGCTCCCGAAGGACCTCACCCGCCCTGGATTCCATAGCGACGCTATCCGTGCGCGACTTGTTCCCGGGCGGGGTCGGCACAGAATGACGTCACCCGCGCGCGCCCTTCCCACGCCTGCGCACTGGCCGCGAAGGGGGCTAGGTGGCGTCGTCGCCCGGGCCTGGTGGGAGCGGGCCGGGAGGGAGGTTCGCGAGGCAGGCTCGCGCCCTCGTGTGCCTCTGTTCCTGTTTTGCTTGTGGAGGACCCCCGCATTGAGTACCTGCTCCGACGTGCGTTTGCTGGGCGTTGGGGCTACGGAAGTGAACAAGCCCGTGGCTTCTCGGAGCCCATTGCCAATTCCAACACAGGCTGCTTCCTCTAATCTCCAGAGGCTGCCTCCTACGGGAAGCCTCCTTGATTGCTCCTCCAGAATGAGATCCCTCTCCTCTGAGACCTGCAGACCATTGTTTCCAGGCTGGTGGGGTGGAATTTACTGGGCCTGGGGTCAGATCCACCCTGGTCCCTGGGTGAGTCGTAAGTGGGCTCTGAGGCCTGCTGCGCTTTGGGCCCACACCCCTTAGATTTTACCGTGGCCTCTGGATCTCTTGGAGACTGAAAAAACGTGGCAGCCTGCGTTTGCTCGTCTACAACATTCACTCAGGTGTTCTCTCTCATTCATTCAACACAGAATGAGTCGATGTAAGGGCCGTTGGAACAGACAGGGCTGAATGGACAACCAAGTCCATGGCCTCACTGCCTGCAATCTAATTGAAGAGATAAAGAGGAAGGTCTGTTTTGCTGTGCATTCGCATATTAGGAAGATAACCCTTTCTCCTCAAACTAAAGGGGCGGGAAACCAAGCCACAGTACCCACTCCCTATGAGTGATTTCATACCCTTAGCAACATACGTAGCTCATCATAAGCACACAAGAAGTGGTACCTACTTCTCAAAATTATATGTCCAGTACTTCATACAATTCTCATAATGAACTTGTGAAATAGACAAAGCATTTTAATACTCACTTTATAGATATGTAAAATGAGTTTCTGGGTGTTCCAGTAACTTATTCAAGGTCTCACAGAACTGATCCCATGCCATTTACTTTCAGCAGATAGAACATAACAGTAATAAACAATGCTACTAATGTGCCAGGCTCTGGGCTAAGTGCCACAGAGGTCATCCCTCAGCATAATCCCTAGGACAATCCTAGGCAACAAATGTGACTGGCGTTTTAGAAAGGAGGAAACAGAGACTTGAGATGTTGAAGAACCTTGCCCAAAGTTGCCGGAATGGGAAGGGATAGAGCACAATGTAACCCTGCTGTGGTTATTGCAAATCGTTGGCTCCTGATCGCAAATCTGTATGGCCAGGTGATATCCATAGCACTAATACGTAAAGGCATGAACAGGCCTTAATGCTGCATGAAAGTGGCCATGTCTTCTACCAGGCTTGCAAAAGTAGTACAATGGAAGGTTACAAAATGAAATCTCTCAGAAGGGTTTGGTGTCTTTTCCCACTTTCAGAAAAACACTATAGATCTTTGGAAGGTATTGTATGCAAGGCGATCTGGCCCCAGTAGCAGAAATGTGCAAGACTCAGCATTAGCCAGCTGTGCTCAGAGCAGAGCTGATGGCCAACCGCCCAAGTCCTCAGGTGGCCAGGTTGGTGCATTCCCCTGATGGTAACAAGACACAGACCAATCTCCCCCAGTGGCAATTTTACAAAGCAAGGCGCCTGAGGAAAGGACATTCCATTTAGTTCTTTTATACCAGGTTTTCATGTTACAAGTGCCCCCAAAGTCTGGCACATAAAAGAATAGTTATAAAAGAGGCACCTTAGAAGAAATGAGCTGGCTCTCTTGTAAAGAGATATTCTAGAGCTTTAACTCAAATGCTTCAAACTTGATCATACGTGTAAACTTGCATTTGGTCATGAGAATTTTTAAAAATAGACTTTATTGTTCAGAGCAGTTTTAGGTTCACAGAAAAATTTAGAAGAGGGTACAGAGTTCCCACACGCCCTTGTTCCTCCACACCCAGCATCCCCCAGCACAGCTGTAGGTACTGTTGAAATGAATGAACCCACATTGATACGTTGGTATGGCCACAGACTGAAGGCTTATGTTCCCTCCAAATGTATATGCCGAAACCTAATCCCCAGTGTGATGGTATTAGGTGGTGGGCTCCGTGGGAAGTGATTAGGTCATGACACAGAGCCTTTACTAAAGGGACCCCACAGAGCTTCCTAGCCCCTATTGCCATTGAGGACACAGTGAGAAAGAAGGCTGGCTGTGATCTAGGAAGAGGGCCCTCAGGTTGATCTTGAACTTCCATGCCTTAAAAACCATGAGAAAGAAATGTTTGTTTCCCAGTCCATGGCAGTTTTGTTATGGCAGCCCCAGCTCAGACACATCCAAAGTCCACAGTTTACCTGAAGGTTCGTGCTCGGTGTACAGTGCATGGATTTGCACAAATGTATAATGGCACATATCCATCATTGTAGTACCATACAGAGCAGTTTCACTGCCCTGAAAATCCTGTGTTCCATCTGTCCCTCCCTCCCTCCCTCTAACCCCTGGCAAACACTGATCTGGTCTCCATAGTGGTGCCTTTTCCAGAATGTCATAGAGTTGGAACCACACAGCATGCAGCCTTTTCGCATTGGCTTCTTTCACTTTGTAATGGGCCTTTAAGTTTCCTCCATGTGTTTTCATGGGCTGATAGCTCATGTTTTTTCACCACCGAATACTGTTCCATTGTCTTGACGTGCCATAGTTTATTTACCTATTCACCTACTACAGGACATCTTGGTTGCTTCCAAGTCTTGGCAATTATGAATAAAGCTGTTATAAACATTTGTGTGCAAGTTCACTTGAGGATTTTGAGCTTGTCATAGGCATTTCCTTGTGAATTCTCACAAGTCCTTTAGAACCTGGCTAGAAGAAATACAGTGAAAACGATAAGTGGGTGAAAAGCTTGACCATGGAGAGCTGTGTGACTTTGGATAATTAACGCTACCTCTCTGAGCTTCAGCTCCCTCTTCTATAAAATGTGGAGGATGGGGCAGGCTGCTACACTGGGAGTCAGACATGGTGCCTGCCCAGCCCTCAGTGAGCACGCTAGAGGTGTTAGCTTCCATTGTTCCATAACAATCCTATTAGATCAACAGGAGAAAGGAGGGGTTGAGATGAGGTCCAGTGATTCACGCAAGGTGAGGGGTGATGGAGCGTTGGGGCACTGAGAGCTAAACCTCTCTCTGGTATGCTTCTGAAATGCCACCCTTCCGGTCCCCTATGTGTCACAGGTATGGCCTTAACACATTAAACGTCACATTCAGCTTTGAGCTCTCTGACTCTCCCTGCATCACATTCACATACACACACAGATCCTCAAGTGCTAAAAAGAAAAAGAAGTGAATACTTCTAGTCACGACAAAGGCTGGCTCCTGAGAAGCTGGAAGTTTCCTTCCCACCTTCAGGCATTGCTCTGTCAACTGGCTCTACTCTGAGCTATGTGCACTCTCCTATCCTGGCATTTGATAGGAGATTGAACTTCGGCAAGACAAGGGTGCCTGAAGTGACACAATGATGCTTTGCCATTCCCACTGCCACAACCCAGGCTGAAGATGTCACTCACCATGCCCAGACTGCAACAGCCTCCTGCCTCCCCACTCTGTCCCCTCCCTGAGTCTCATTCCTCCTCCCCTTCCTTCTCCTCCTCATCTTCATCTTCCTCTCCTCTCTCTTCCTTTCCCCAGTGTCCTCCTGTTTTTCTCCTCTTCCTTCCTCCGCCTCCTCTTCCTCTTCTCCTTTCCCTTTCTTGCCCCCTGTCCACCTGAATTCCACCTGTACACACAGCTGTGACCGTGTGGCTCCCTGCTGCCTCCAGCTGGCAAAACACAAACTTCTCACCTGGACAGCCCAAGCCTGGCTTGACTGCCAACTCGCATGCAGGCCTCATCTCTCAGCCGAACTACAATGTATCCCTATTTACTCAGCCCTGCCTTTCTCCTCCTGCCAGGTTTTGTTCTAGTTTTTCCCGTCCCAGAAATGCTGCCCCTCCCCCACCCACAATTTTCCCAGGTCAAAAATCCCACCCCAAATTGGCCTGGGGACTATCAGGAGGGAGGATAGGACACCAACAGACTCCTCTAACAAAGGAGGGAGTCAACAAACGTGAAAGTTAATGGAGGGAGCAGTAGAGCGAAGAGGCATTAACTAAAGGCATAAAAGAAACATGCAGAGGAACTGAAAAAAAAAAATCTCCATGGGAAGCTGTGCAGGGGCGGAGGGAGGGTTCTGGCATCCTCAGGTGAACCCAAATGCTAATTTAAAATATACACACTTTGCAGCAGGGATAACTGGGAACCATGTGGGTCATGTTTTCAATTGCCACCCCACCCGGCACACAGGAACCAGCCAATTTCTTCTAAGTAAACTTATTACCATCTTTAAACACAGAGCGGGGAGGCACAGAATCATAGAGATCTTCACCAAGAAAAGAAATAGCAACAAAGTCTATTTTTTCCAGAAACATTGGTGACTGCCAGAGGAAACAGGGTAAGATGTTAATGGTCTCTGAGTCGGGGGAGGGGGTAGCAAGAAGATGCTCTTTTCATTTTAACTCTTTGGTACTATGGGATTTTTATCCATGTAATTAATGCATGATGCTCATGCTCATTTAAAATCAGTATAGCCTTGATTGGTGTGGCTCAGTGGGTTGGGCGGCGCCCCACTGACCCAAGGGTGACAGTTCAGTTCCCGGTCAGGGCACATGGCTGCATTGTGGGCCAGGTCCCCGCCTGGGGGCAGGCGATAGGCAGCCGATAGATGTTTCTCTCACATGTCAGTGTTTCTGTCCTTCCTTCTAAAAATAAATAAATAAAATCTTTAAAAATAAATAGATGAAATCAGTATCATTTCTTCACTGTTTCAAGCTGCAAACCATCATTGGTATCTCCCGGATCTGGCACTGCGCAACGGCAGAGTGGAGGGAAGACTCCCTCCTGCAGGCCCCTCCCCTGTGAACTTTAATACTATGTAGTTGTTTGGAGCTGCATTTAATACTTAATAAATGTAGAATGTCTCAT